TGCATTTTCATTAACTTGGAACAGAGATTTTGGGAAGTATCATCTGTTGGATGCAGTGTATGCATTTTTCTATACAGATTTTAAAAGTAACTATCACACATGCAGATTCCATGTGTGTGGTCAGTATTTTGTGAGTTGAACTGATATGTCAACCAACTGCTACCCACTCAACCCAGCAGAATTACCAGCCCCATCTCATCCCATAATACTAACCTCTACTGGGATTGGTATGTAACCTGAAGATTAAATACTGCTTTTCTATTTTGAGGAGTGAAAAATCTGGTTTTTAAACCAAGAGTTTTGTAAGTTGCTGTGATGTTTAAGACAAAAAATGAATTTCAAAATATTTTTTGAGGTTCTGAGGTGAATGAAGAGCAATGCAAGAAGGATTTCTTTAGCCTAGTCATATAAATGTCCATTGGAATTTTCTTCCAAGCGTACACTCAGTTCATGTATTGGTTATGAGCCTGATTTAGACAATCAGCTCAGCTCTGCAATCACTTCAGAAAATGTTGCACTTGCTTTTATTAAATATAGATAGGAACCCTTATGTCTGTTATAATCAGCTGAAACAAGAGCATGCTTAAAACTGTAGGGCTCTTAGCATGAAAATTTCACCAGTCTTAGACAACAGAACCAAAGAAAACACATTTTCTTGTTTTCATGTGCACCATGTAAGTGAAGGAAGTCAAGATATCTTTCCTTTTCTGTCTTAGCATGGTGTACTAGAATGGAATACTAGAATGGAATTGTAAAAACAGTGACTAAAGTGTGTTATTTAACAAAACTAGAAATTCTGCCTGGCATTTGTTCCGAATCCCAAACGTAGTGCCTTTGTTTCATAACCAATGGAACAGGGAAGAATACACTGGTTAAAACTATCCACCAAATGCTGCATTTTATCTCATAGGTGTATGTTTACTCCATGAGATCCTGAGGATCACAGTGTTTAATTTAAAGACAGCGCATTTTTAATAACATTGTAGATCAAGCTACACACAGATTTTGATTGTGGAAGAGTTAACTAACTTGATGTCCTGTAAAAATAAGACAAAAAACATCCCATCACTTTTAAATGAAAACCACTCCTCCAGAACAAGCCAAAAAAACTAATTGCATAGCATTTACTCTAGGGATCTGCTCTCTCAGGTACATGTTGCTTTTTAAGACTGAGTTTCATATGTCCCTCTCCACCTTCTTTCAAGGAAAGCAAGCAGGTTTTTGTCCTGGCAGGGAAGGTGTGTTCATCTTTCATCTCTGCCTGAAGGCATTAAAACTTACATCTTGTAATTCCTGGAAGAATGCTTTCTTCACCATCCTGGCTGTTTAGTGTTGAGAAGAGTGAGGTGCTTCCCGGCATCCAGGGAAGAAGTCCAAGAACCTGTGAGCAGTCATGGCAAAGAGTGCACCTATTCACTCTAGAAGCCTCAGGAGTCAAACTGAGGGTGGATAGAAGGCTTGGGGATTGTAGTTTTGACAATATTTATGCAGAGCAGGAGCTTGGTAGTGTATAGGCAGTTAACATCTAGATGTCTAGCTCAGATGGGGCCCTAAGAAAATACACTTAATAAAATATAACCTGTTGGAATTTTAAATTGCCATCCTAAACCTATCAGTGGGAATTTAATTTAGTTCTATTGAAGTCATGGGAGCTATTTTATATACCTTGTATAATTCAATGTAAACAAATCAGAATAGACCCTTGCCTCAGAGTCTGCATGCAGAAAAAGACAACAAACTCTTCATCTACCTCATATCTCAGCTAATGCTAATGTACTTTGAGTCTATGTTTATATTAGTATATTTAAAAGGAGTATTCCTGAGCATTGGAATTCAATTGTTTATGACATTAACTTCTCCTTGGTGTGTCTTAGGGCAGTTTAAGCTATCCTATTCTCAGAGTTATGGTGGAGTTATCTCATAAAAGGATTAATGCAGTTTCTGCTAATGTCCACTGTCTTTTCAAAAGGAAGACCATACACCATAAACCATACATAAACCATATTATTCAATAATTTACTGGTTGTTCCTTGACAGCTGGTCTCCATGCCAGACATAACAGACATGTCTGGGTACATCTAAGGTAGTAGAAAAGATGCAGCAAAAGATTCCTGACTTGAATTGGTGTGTACTCAAAACGTGGGCTGCTCCTTCCTTGCACGATGGTGACCAAAACTGGCATGGAAATTGTAGGTGTGAGGAAGGGGAGACTCCGTCCATGTGTTTAGCTGAAATTCTCTTTCAGTTCTGCAGTTGTATCACCTTTTTCCAAAGAGATTACTTTGGGTGAAGGAATACTTGCAATGTAATCTTGGGAACAGAACACCAGGCTCTATTCTGCCTGCCTCGTTTTCCATCTTCCCTGTCTCCAATTGGTGACCTCAATGTGTCAATATTTGGAATGACTAACATGTAAATACAGCCATACCAAGTTATGTCATGCAAAGGGACATTCTTTCTCACTGTGGAACTGATTGTTCAATTTCTTTTTTCCCCTGAGTCTTAAGGTGACTGGAAACAAACCATGAAGCCAAGAGGAGGAAGCCTGGAAACCTGACAAAGCAGTCTTGCTCAGTCTTGCCTCTGCGTCTCTTTCTTCATCATGTGGTATTTTTTAAATGTTTTTGTACCTTCACTGTGACAGCACAGGCTGAGATTTTTGTACTTAGAGACATGTGTCATTCATGTATTGGTTTTGAAGACAAATCGATTAAAATGATGAAGTACTCGGGGAGCCCGACAGTACGGAGCTCCGGGAGGTGAATCAGTCCCGGCGCCTCCGTGGGCCGGGCCGCCCTCACGGCTGCGGGGCGCGGGGCACTCAGCGCCGCCTGGCGGCGGGCGGCGGCAGCGCCGAGCGCGCGCGGGACGGCGGCCGCCGGGGGTCGCTGTTCCCGCTGCGCGCGGGCAGCGCGCGGCGCGCGGCCCCGGAGAGGCGCCCGCGGGGGTCGGGGAGCGCGCCCGGCACGGGGGGAGCTCCGCGTCCGCGGCTGCCGAGGGACAGGTTCATCCACACGGGAGAGTAAACACCCGGAGTTCCGCCGGATCGGGTTTCAGCCTCCCCCTGCCGCGCCCCGAGGGGCTACGCGGGGAGGGCGGCAGGCTGTGCGTGCTCTAGGGAAGGGCGCTCGTTGGAGGGGGCTCGGCGCTCTCCGCAGCCTGCCCCGCGCTTCCAGTGCCTTTCGCTCACGCTGTCACCTCTGCCGAGGGCAGCTGCGGGAGCGGACAGGGCACTGCCTTCGTCGTCGTCCTCCTCTTCCTCCTCCTCCTCTCCCGGCCCCGCTGGGAGCGCTTCCAGGCAGCGGCGCGCCGGGAGCCCAGGAAGCCGCCTCGCCACTCGGGACCGCCCGTGCCAAGAATCGGCGAAAGAGGCGGCACGCCCGCTCCCTCCCTCTGCCCAGACCCACTCCAGCCGCCTCTCCGCGGGCTTCCCGGCCGGCGGGAGCAGAAATAGCCTTCCCCTTCCCCGGCAGCTCGCCCCCGCCCCAACACCTCCCCTTCCCCGCCGCAGCCGGGCCCGGAGTTCCCGGTAAACAGGCGGCTTCCCCGCCCGCCCCCCGTGGGGCTGCGGCCGCGGGCCGGGGACCCGCCTGACGAGAGCTGCGCCAGGGACATCAATATTTCAGTGGCTCCTCAGTGCGGTTCTAATTAAAGGCTCGGGGGATGCGCGCTCCCCCCGTCCCCATCTTCCCGCCGCCCCCTCCCACTCCAAACACACACACTTGGGACCGTCTCCTTACGTCGGAGAGCAGAGAAGGAGTGACTGAGCCCTGGAGAACCGAGCAGGGGGAGGGACGGGGGGCACCGGGGCGGGAGGGGAGAGAGGGCGGGAAGGGGGGGCTTGTGCAAGCAGCGACGCTCCCGAGGTTGCCAAGTGGACTTTTATTGTTTTCCACCCACTTGCTAGTCGATACTATCTGCCGTCTCATGTCATCCTATATAAGCCTATATAAGCGGCTGCGCTGGGGCTAGCGGCGATGGAATAGTTTGTGGATACGGCGGGAGCGCAGGGACGGGAGGGGGGCGGGCGGGCCAGCCGCGGAATACTCGGACTCCCTGCCGTTCACTGGCTGCTGCCGTCCGGGGAGCGGCTCCCGGGGGAAGACACCTCGGCGTCCGGGACAGAGACACAGGTAAAGCGGCCGGCGAGCGCCAGCAGCCTTCTTCCCCTCTTGTTTCCCTCCCCACGCCCCCATCCCTCCCGCCCCGCCGGGCCAAAGCGCTGTCCGGTGACAGCCGGACCCCGCCAGGGCTGGCAGGGCAGAGCCGCCGCACGGACCGGCCGTGCGTGAGGGGCGGTCAGTCGTCCGAAGGCGAGCGGCTCTGGGCATGATGCTGGCCGCTCCTCCTGCAGGGTAGGGGAGCGGGGAAAGGGACAGAAAATGGGGAGACTGGCGGTGCTGTCCCCTGCCCCGGCCGGCTGCCCCCCAGCCGCGCACCTCCCGTCCCGCCGCTCCTGCCCGCAGCCCGGCCGCGGAGGCCCGCAGCGAGAGTGGGGACAGCTGTCGCGGCTCTCCGGCGGAAACTTCGGGGAAAGTTGTCGCCCCTCGCCCGTGCTCCTCCGCTCCGCGGCGGGGCGGGGAGAGGCGGGGCGGAACGCCCGTCCCGCCGGGGATCTGCTCCGCCGGGGCACCCCCAGCCTGGCCCCGCTCCTGGGCTGCGCCCCCGCCCTCCCGCGGGGCCCGGCGCCGGCTGCGGGCAGGCCGAGCCGCACTGCCCGCGGCGCTGGGGGCTCTGCCCGCGGGCCGGGCACTGAGGGGCGCGGGGGCAGCGGCCGAGCCCCGCGGACCCCCCGCCCCGTCCCGCTCCGCCAGCCCCCGCAGCCCGGAGCGGTCTGTGCCCCGCCTTGTGTAACCTGCCAAGCGGCCGCCGCTCTTTCCTCCGCTAGTGTTTCCGATTTCACCCCCACGAGTCTCCCCACTTTCGACCCACCCCCAATTTTCTCTTCCAGTGAAACAGGAGACCTCACATAGCAGCGGATCCTTCCTCTTCATCCCCTCATGCACTCTTCAGGTCGGACTGCAATGAGTGGACTGAGGTCTTCTGGGCTGCTGGGGCTTGTACTCTTAATGCTCTCAGCAGGATACTGCAAAGAAAAAACAGACTCCACAGATTTGAAGGACAAGCAAAATCTCTTAAATCTCATCATGGAGATCATTCAGGAACTGAAAAGGTACCACCTGGAGAAGGACAGTGGGATGCAGTACTTCTCCAAGCATGACTATAACTTGGATCGAAGGGAAGTGGCTGACTATGGAGGGTACCAGGACGAGCAGAGAGTTGGTAAGTCACAGTCCATTTTTTTTCCCTAGGGTGCCTCGGTGAATGAGATCGTGCATCAGGTTACTAATTTTGTATTAAGAATTCACCACTTGAAATACGTGCAGATTCCATTTGGTATCAGAAACAGACAGAGATGGCAAATTTGGAATAGAAAACCTCCATTCACCTCTCAGAGCCTTTTACTCTCTGGATAATGAACTCAACTGAAAGTCCAACTTCCTGTGGCTTTGAATAAAACCTAATAATATGGGAAAAGACTTAAATGGGCTGAGATCAAAGAAAAAAGGGATGAAAACGCTTTTTTCCTGGAAGGTTACCACTTATTATCATGTGCTTGGTTTAAGTGTTTCTTGGAAATGACCCTGGCAAGAATTCTCCTGCAGGACTGTAGTATGTCCTTAAAGAGCTTACATATAGAAGTCTTCCCCACACCTCAGCTTCACTGAACTGAGTTGTTCACCCTGCTTGTTAGTTCCTTTTGTACTCCAGAGGTAGCACCTTTGAAATTCTAGGGAACTGAGACAGTACTCCTCTGTCACTGTGCAGGCTGTGACCAGTTTGGGACACTCCTGCAGCCATCCCTCTGCTCGTTTGATTGGCTCCTCTCTAACCTGCTTAGTTTGGTGATGTACTTCTGTGCACTCAGTTGAAACTTGATTTAGTTCCTCCTGCTGCCATGTCTAATTTAGTGTTCCCTGTCACTCCCAAGCCTCTGCAGTGTTACTGCTGCTCATCTGACCCCTCCAACTGACAGCAACTTTCTGAATATTTTCCAGCAAATATTTACTCAAGTTTTCCCAAACTGGCTTTCATTTTGATAGTATGCTGTTTATTTTGTCTTTATTGATCTTTTAAAGCTTCATTGTACCTTTTTGCCATTCTCATTCATACTCAAATATCCTCATAATTTGCATTTATTGGTGGTTGTCATGAAGATGTTGCTTCTCTATTGGGATGAATAATGAATGCACAGAGGAAGAGAGTTCTTTTCTCCTTAAGGTCAACACAGGAGAGAACATTTTGTTTTACAAATGTTGAAGAGTCAAAGAGGCCAGATTAAGCAGGGAACTGTGATGTGCACAACTCTAAATCTCATCTTGGAACATGGGCATAGTTTTGGTCACCCTGTTGGTGCAAAACATCTGGCTTGTGTAGAACAGTTATCTACAAAATTAATAATTCTGCTTCAGAGTGGATTAGTTGGTAGTGTTGTTACTGATTTCGAAGCAGGATTTTTCATTCTGTTACTATGATGGAGTTTTTCCCAGCAACTCTGAAAAGGAACTACTAGTTAGAGTCTTTCATTTCAGTTTTGGCATCAATTTCCTAGTGAGCTTGTCCCATGGGAAGTTTCTGAGTGAAGCATGTGTGTTTTTAATGTTCTTCATGACATAATTAGGTCAAATAGGATAACGTCAATTTTACTTACACCGACTAAAGTTAGAAGTAAACGATGAATGACTTTCGAGAAGTGTCTAAATTCACAAGTGAATCAGATCTGGATGGAAATGCTCTCTGCTTTATATCTGATAAGAGGTGCCAGGGGAATGAAAAAGGCTGCTCAGGCATTCATGGTCAAGTAAATAAAGCACCATATAGTGTATCATACACAATCAGCACTAAGCCATCAGCACAGAGTTTGTAACAGAAAGCAATCAAAGATAGCTGTAAATCAGGAAGTCACAAGCAGGGGTTAGGGCTAAAATGGATTTCAGTAAACTAGTTTCATTTTGCCATCTGCTGAACACAAAACACAAGGCGGTAAACCACAAACATAGGGAGCCAGAAGAGAGCAATTTGCTTGGAATAATTTCCTGTGAATTTTACTTACTGCGGGGGGAGGGAGGGAAGATTCCTGTAAGTAGATCAATCCAGTTTCATGATTACAGTAGAGCAGTGCTTCTACAGACATACCTGGGACAGAATAGTGGTTACATTTGTATAAGAGAATTAGAAGACACAACCCCAGACTGGAATATATCATTGAGTCCTTAACACTTGTGTAATATGAAAGAATTTAAGTCTAGGTAAACTTCATAATGTTTCATAATGTTCCTTTAGTTCATAGAGAACTAAAATCTGACTCTTAGTTAATAGCCATCATCATGAATGATTTCTCACCTAGCAGACATTGTTTCATCAGTACTGTGTTTCACAGAGCATTTTACAAGGTCTCCCTATGTGAAGTGACTGCTTGCAATTTGGCCTACTGTATGCAAAGGACTTCTGCCCTCCATGCACCTGTCAAGACACACTGGTGATGTTGCTGCACAGTGTTCCCTGTCTTCATACTATGCTTGGCAAGCATAGGTCCAGTGCAGCAGGGTAACACTATTCCTTTTTCTGTCCCACAGAAATAGTTCCCAGAGATCTGAGAATGAAAGACAAGTTCTTGAAGCATTTAACAGGTATGTTTTAATTTTGTGTTGGTATCCGTATTTCACACACATACCATAAGCTACACTGCTCTACTTGTGAGCTGTGCTGATTCATAACTTATTTTTTCTTTATCTTTCAGGTCCACTCTACTTTAGTCCAAAATGTAGCAAACACTTTCATCGGCTTTATCACAATACGAGGGATTGTACCATCCCAGCATGTAAGTAACAAAAGCAGGCACTTCCCTAAAATGAGAGAAAACTCTAAAATTTGTCAGTTCTATCAAGTATCAGTAGTGATACAATGTCAGAATGCATTCCCTGCAAAGAAAAATTTGGACTGCTTTAAAATGTACAAAGTATTCTCTACAGCTTTGCTAGAACAGCATCAGCATTACAGAGAGGAAAACAGAAATAAAATTTTCTCATTGCAAATACACTGTGTAGAGTGGCTGTAAACACTGCATCCTTAGGTACTGATGTATTTGCCTCATGGGTTCCAAACCATGTGTTTGTTTTTCCTCTCACAAATATCTCATATTTAATTTTTAGTGCTGTATATTCAAAACAGGATCACAAATCCAGGTGGGGTTATTTTACTTTTCATTGATTATATATGTAGGACACATTTTATAGACATTTTCTATTTTGACTATTCAGCTACCAGTCTACCAGTGATGTTGACAATGAATCTTTGCAACACTTGTCTTCAGTGAATTATAAAAGTTTAACTTGTTAGCTTAGGAAAAAAAAATAGTGCTGATGGACGCAACTAAGCAAAAGCCACTTATGATGCCTCATCACTGTTGGCAGCACAGAGAATTAAATAAAAATCAAACACTGACATTTATCAGTCAGTAGATGTGACTCCAGATTCATACTGAGGTGGGCCTGTTGAGTAAGCAGATGCTATTTTAGTACAGCCTTTTCAGAATGGAAGCACACTTTATTTTACTTGTCTGAGGTCAACCAGTTGGGTCAGTAGCAGAGCTGGGAATAGAAACAAGAGTTACAGATTCCAAGTTTCTAGTATTAATAAATATTTCAGCCCAGTGCATTTTAAAGGCATATTTGGTAAGAATTGTGCACATTTTCTCTATTTGTAAGGCTTCAGATCAGAAATTCCCTGGAAACACAAGGATTTCTAGATGACAGGTAACCAGATCACCCTCTGTTTACATGGGTGGAGATGTGAGTTGTTCATAACTTCTCTGTTCTGAACAAGCAATGGTCATTACCTTTTTCATAAGGATCACAACACAAACATCATTTGGCTCAGCACTAATGAGTGCTCCAAGCTGTGAAGCTAAAAACTAGTTGGCCTTAACGGCTCTAAATTAGCCTTTTCCTCCTGACAGGTGACATATCCACCAACATAATGTCTGGATAATGGAGGATCATTTGTATGAGTGGAAATTATACCATAGCTATGCTGTGAGTTGGGATTGTTAACATTCCATCTCCAGATGAAACATTAGATGTAGTTACCCATTAATGAAATAAAGCCTAAAAGAAGTAAAAGTCACCTACTGGGTTGGACTGACTAGCATATCTTTAAAGTAACTTTCTTCTAGGAAAATGAGACAAACAGCCTGCCTTAATTCTTCATGCACAGAATGTTACTTTTTGATAATATCCTGACTTCAAATTATACTGTTCCTTGTGTATAGAGATCTGAAGGCCAAACAGCAAAGAAACAAAAACTGTCTCTGATGCTGCAGTGTGGTGGTAGCTAGTACAAAAGCATTGTGTGGGCATACTTTCTAGTACTTTGTACAGTGTAGTAGCATTGGTATCTGAAAAATAATTTACTTTTCTGTCTGTCCATAACCAACTTTCAAAATATTTTCTTTCAGTTTTTTATGGAAATGGAAAAAAAAAGCCTTTTGAGTAATTTCTTTAGTTTTGCATTGGTTCTGTGTCTTACTGTGAATGCATCAAAAAGTTGACGATACCTAAAATATGAACGGCTAACAATAGGACTTCAGTGGAAAAAACATTTTTACTAGTTTTAAGATGAAACTTCATGGTCCTATGAATGTCTATCATGTGGTCATCTACTTGGGCTGGACTTAAGATTTGTATGAATAGAAGATGTTATTTGTCTAATGTAATTGTTCCCAGGAAGAAAATCTGTTGGAGAGTGGCATTACTTAATATTAAGTTGACAGACTTGCTCATTGATGGCTGGATTTAAAGGTGGATGAGCACTATTTATTCTTTCTCTAATATGGAAATACTAGAGTCACATGTTTAGATCCTGCACAGAAGCACAGGCACAGATGTATAAATTCTAATACATACATACATACACTTGGAGAGCCTCCAAGCACTTTCATGCTGTTTGTTTACAGATAGAACATGTGCAGAAGTCAGTTGCATAGTTAGACGTGCCATTAGACATGGATTTTAGTTATTACCCAATTTTTATACATTCCTCTTTTAAGTCAAAAGAGTTGATTTTTATTCTGTTGCAAACAGAAGGTATTCATTGAACTTTGCTATGACACTAATTTGCACACTGAAAGCGATTTTGATTTTTAAAGGCAAATTTGATTACTTTGGTAATCTAGTAATGCTTTTTTTTTTCATACAGACTATAAAAGATGTGCCAGGCTTCTTACTCGACTGGCAGTAAGCCCTATGTGCATGGAAGGATAAAGGTAAGCTTTTTCTTAGCAGAAATGACATTCCAGTGCATAGCAAAGCAGCAGATGTTGTGTTTCATACATGAAAATTCATGGGAGTATAATAACAACTGTCCTTTAGATAAGGTATTCCCCTCCCAAAGGACTTGAAGTAACTGGCTTAATCTGGCAAATTTTGGCATTAAGGAAAGGGTACCCCCTACTGGAAGTCATTACATAAACGTCCATGTGCATCATCTGTGAATTATTTATAGCAGCATACAGTTAGCAGATAGTGAATTTGTTGTTACAGAACAAAACACAGCAGCTGTGGCTTATTTTTCAAGAGTTTACTCAGTACACAACTGCCTGTATCGGCAGCAGCAGTCGCCCTTTTGTGTGTGCAGCTGTAGATCTGTGCTGTACTCAGTAGTATGAGTTAATATATACATAGCTGTACACATGAAAGCTTCATAAATGCAGATAGGTCACAGGTGCTTTTACAGTAAATCAGTTAAAATGTACTGATAGTAGCATTGATAAACTATCTTCAAGCTATTTGGATTGGGATTTCCTTGTGCACACCTCTTATGTCTAGAGGTTAATTCCCTCCTTCTTTGCCCAGATGGGCCTATATTTCCCAAAACTACTTGGGAAATTTCATGCACCAAAATAAAAACAAAAGCCAATCAACCAAACCAAAAATTACTCCCAAACTATGTGTAGAGAACTGTAACATAAGAATACAGAAGGACTAATTTACATTCTGTTTTCAACCTTTACCTGAGACAAAATGTGATCTTGGACAAAGGGATAAATAATAACCATGTAGATTTGTCAATAACAAATGCTGTCAAACCAAGATGCTTTAACTCTGTGACAAAATACACATCTTGTGGAAGGAATCTGTGAGAAAAGTAATAAATATTAAGCATTTTATTTTCTTTTATTTTAAGCATTGACACTGTTGTGCACTTCACTCTCACAATCAAGCTGGGGAAGATAAATGTAAAAATGACTGGAAAAAATACATAGGTTGTTAGTGCTTCACTGTCAAAACTGGAAAAATATACTGACCAATGTCACACAGCTTCATTATGGGTTTGATATTGTTCAGTATTTTCATTAATAACTTGGGTAGTAGAATACTGTATTAATGTATTTCAGTATTTTAGGACAAGCAACCATGATACAGTACAACCTTGAAATTAAAAATAATCCTGAAAAATAAGCCAAATAGTCTAAAACCAGGATGACAGCTAAAGAGCAGAATGATAAAGTCCTGTAGGATTACTCAACCACAGAAATACATGGAATTTGGTGAATAGTTAGATAGTGCTGTTGAAAACAGGGGTTGTTGTGGACTGCAAACTAAGCGAGACAGCGGTGTTACACTTGAAGAAAGTCAAACTGTACTGGAATGTATAAGTAGAATCATAGTTTATGAAACTCCTGACACAATTACTGTTACTGGAATACTATATTTAATTAAAGGCACCACACTTGAAGACATACAGGTTCTTCTTGTATGAGTCCAAAGTAGAGCAACATGGATGACCAAAGGCTTAGAAAACTCAGTATACAAGAACAGTTACAGGAATTAGGATTATTTAATCTAAAGAAAACATGACTGCAGGAAAACCTGATGGAGCTATTCAATCTCAAGAAAGGTTTCTACAAGTCATTCTCTCTATCCAGTCTGGATAAATGAGACTTAATTTGTTTAACTTTGCAAATAGGTGAATAATATTATTACCAATACTAATAAGCAGATACATCACAGTGTGAAATTCTTTTCTCCCTTTCTTTAGAAAATTTTATCTTTATCTTAACAACCTGCCATGTAAACATGAAATTGTAATATGAAGGAATAGCAACTAAAGTAGTTCACATCTCAAGCTGGGAGTCTATTTAAAAATATCCTTTTCTCAAACAACCTTTGCACAACATATTTCAATGTCAGCAACTGTCCACTTCTTTTATTCACACAGACACAAATCAGTGGTAGACTCCTTAAGCAGCCTCACTTAGCAGAAAGGAAGACTATCCTCTACTACATATATCTGGAGATGCACAGGTGTCTGTAGGATTAAGCCTCTTTTCTCCTCAAGGCTTTTCCACTGAATCAGTTAAATTTGTGTAAAACAAATTTATGTTTCCTGTTTTGTTCAGTATCTGATTTTGCTTTCATTGCAGGTTTATAAGTGTGCTGAGCTATAGTTGGATTATTACTTTGGCAAACTAGTAGTTTTGTTAGATTTTTCAGATCTGTGGACATCTATCCATGTTTAGAGTTCAATTTGAAGAGAAGAAAAAATACAAATTTATTTTTATTTGTAGTGCATTTTGGACTAGCACAGCTTTAAAGCACACAAGACATTGAAACTCAGAGCTCAGATTAAACAAGAAAATAATATGCAAAAACAGGAGTTAGACATGTTACTGTCACAACACATTCCTATGTGGCACATGTGTGTTTATGGTGTGACATGTCTTGTGGAGCCTTAACTTTTTCTCATGTGTCCTATACATATGTAACTGAGCTCCATCTTCTCTTTTTTTTAGAGTATATGTTCCCTTTCTGCCTGTCCTACAGACATGAGCAATGCAGGGACCCAGTAACAGCCCTTCAACTTGTTGAGATTGCACTAGTGAAGCCAGAGCAGCAGATTTGTATTACCACATCTCCCAGTTGTCCTTTTTTTTTTTCCAGTCAGCCTCCCAGGCTGTATTCCCTGGCTGCCACCAGCACCATCACTAATTAATTTTATTCTGTAACCCCTTCTCATGGTCGACACAGCTATGCTAGAGTCCTGTCCTTGATGCTTCTTTTTTTTGTTCTGTTCTTCAGCCTCTTTCTTCTGCCAGCTTCCTAATAGTTCCCATGTTCCATGCTTGCTTTGTTCCACTCCATGCAGATACATCCCACAACTGTTAGGTTGTCCATATCGGCAGTAGGTTAGAGATGCCAGGAACACAATTCCCAAAATCTTCACCTAAATAAAGTTCACAGTTCAGATCATGAGCAGTTCTGGTGACAGACAGTGATGAATCTGAAAACAGCATTTGTCAAAGCCACTTGGCCACAGTCATACAGATTTTATTATTTCTGTTTGAAAACTTCAGGTGCTACTGTTGGTGCTCCATCCCTTTTCCATTACCTGTCCTATACATGTTTGCTAGAGACCAATACTGATCTCATAATTACTTTGAAAACTTCTTGCACTGTGAGGAGGAGTTCAGGGACTATGGACTGCATTATCATATCTTAATACATACTTCTGTTTTGAAGATTTCTTCTAATTTCTGTATTGAAAAATATTAATGTGGTTTTAAGAACTTTTAAAGCATCTACAGTTATTTCAAGTTAACAAAGTAAAGCTAATGACACACTTTTACACGAATAAATACAAGAGTGGTGCAAGTAGTTGGAGTCTCAGGCTATGCAGAGAAAACGAGGTTTATACATTATAAAAAGTGTGTTAAAGAAATCTACCAGTTGCTTGTTCCTTCAAGATGAAGATGCAAATAATTAATATTTGTACATACAGTTCAAATACCTGTTGCAAAATTTGTAATAAGCTTAAAACTGAAATTTCCTTTGGAACTCCAAAAAATCTCTGTAAACACCTCAAGACGTATTGACCATACTAGTAATGTATGAGACAAATGCTGAAAATACAATATAAAGTTGGAAACTTAAAATACTCCACTCAATATCCCATTCCTATACACCATATTATATATCCATTTTTTCAAATTATTCTTAAACCAAGATATTTGGGCACTTGAATTTTGCTTAAATTTGTTGTAACAATGGAAACAACAGCCCTTAATTGCATTCTCCTTTAGACTGCTGCTTTCTCAGAGTAACATCAAGTGCATTGAAATGTCAGACACTTGAATTCCATAAAAGTGAAGGTGAAATTAAGATGAGAGGATTGTGTATTATTCAGTGAAAGCCTGTTTTTTTCTAGAAAGTATACCTTGGTTTGTTTTATACAGCTGCTCAGGGCATGTTCAATCGCCTCTTCATGATGCCAGGAATTGGTTCCCAAGTTAAGTAATTTAAGACTTTTTTCAGAACTACTGCTTTGAGTTAAAAAGGCAGCCAGCGTGCATGGTTACTAGTGTGGCATCATCCAGGTTTATTAAAGGGCAGCTCACAGTTTTCCTTGCTGTGAGATATCTCTGGCTAGCACCAGATGGAACATTCAGAGCTTCATAATCTTCAGTGCATGGATCTCTGTGATCACATTACAGCAGAATTCCACCTGGGTGTGCACACTTGGGAAAAGAATTTTTTTATATATAAGTATGAGGAGGTTCTGCTATAAAATCCTACTGGCACAGTATTTTAAAATTTATATTGATATTTAAACCACTGAATTCTTCTCATATAGATTAGCTTTTTCTTACAGAGTTTATCATCACACACAGGTAATAACCAGAATCAAATCTGGAAAGCTGCAATATGCCTTTATAATAGCTTTCATATGTGCTTTTAAAAATTAGCACAATTGGCTGGGGAGTTGTATAGTTACCTATGTTCTCAACAGAGGCAGTAGTCAGATTGCATTCAGGATCTCCACCAAGACTATCCATCATCCTTCAGCTAAGTTCCAGCCTAATATCCCTAGACTGATGGATATAACAGACTATATGAAATTAAAAAAAAAAAAAAAGAAGTAGAACAGATTTATCGATGCTAAAAACCTGGGGTATCTGAAAACACCAGGGGTTTAGAAAACTGTGATTAGCTGATACAAAACTGTCAAGTTCCCCTACAAAAGCAAGTGGAGATGAGATGACAAATGAGCATCCTAACCACTGTTTTTCACCTCCAGTGAGCTGCACATTCCCATTAGTAATGAAAAAAGTTTTTATTACATTTTCAGTGTTTAACTTGTAGATTGTATCACACACTGATCAAACCAAAAGCATGTTAATTTCTTCTAAACATCACTTTTTAACATCATAGCTAAATAGGGTACAGTAGGAGCATACATACAGAAAATAAGCTAGATTAAAATGAAAGACAAGGAAAATTTACATCAGTTTCCCCCTCTAAGGAAGGATATTAAAAAAAAAATAGAAGTAATTGTCCTATCTGCAAAGCCAGAAAAAACCCCTAGATTACATTAAAATTTTCTGTAACATTATTACATTTCCTAAATAGCTTTCAAAAATTGCAAAACTAAATGTTTAAATACTACTAACAAGTATTTCTGTATGCACCAATAGCTTGATTTTCAATGGATTATGTCAAGTCCAACTGACTTCGCATACAAATGATTCCATTACAAATTATACTTAAGCAGTAGAAAATGTAGAGCAGCTCAGAGTATCAGAGAATTCACACTGATCATGGGGAGGTTACCTATGTTCAGACAGACAATATGAAAGTTTTAACTGTGAAAAATATCATCAGCAGAATTCTAGTATCAGATTATTACCGGTTTTTATCTCCGCCACGGATTTTTGATGGCTGTAAAACACCAAAGCTTCATCTGGGTCTGCTTGCATGTGAGAGTCTTTCAGCTGTGTAGTTCCTGCTGACTGAAAAAACACTGTACATTTTTTATTTCTAAATAAGAACAACAACAGGCATGGAAACATTTGAAACTGGGTGGACAGACTTGCAACATTCAGTGTGCACCTGTCTAGAAGAGGACAGACTTCTAGATATGTGTATGTGCAGTTACACTACATTTTCTTACAAGCTTTAAAAGTGTGGGGGAGTAAGGTTGTGAAAATCTTCACTGCTCAACTTCTGAATCAACATTTCTAGAATACAGACAAAATACATACATAAGCAGTGTGGAAAGCTGTAATTTTGTATTGGTGATTGTGATATCAGTGTCATAGGCATGACAGTGATCTCATTCCAAGACACTCTTCTAGAAGACTTCAGGCAGCAAATCGAACCACTGCAGCTCCTGCTTAGTTTGTGGTGGCTTAGTGTTGGCATGTTCCAGGGGCTGTAGTTATACAAGCAACTCTTAAAAAAGTTACTTCTGTTTGTTTCTTGTTTGTATGAGTCCAAGTTTCTTCACAAAAGGGCCCAATGAAAAATCAAACCCTTTAGATCCTTCAAACTGGGCATGCCATGAACAGCTCCTGACACCAAGGTATTTAGAAAGCATTTTGCAATCTGTTAATGTTATTCCTGAGGTTTATTCACTTCTTGACTTCACAGATGCAGTCATTGGAACAGATTAACTATGAATACGTTTTAAATAGGTAGAACTGAATTTCCCCAGTGTCTATCAAAAATGAACCATCAGAGAAAATGATGCTTTCCAGAATTTTAGCCTTGATTAACAAAGTATTAATGTTACAGTTCAGTCAGGCTGATATGAACTTAGGTAAATTTAAAATTCACTACTGATCTTTCCAAAGTTATTTCTGAATTCTCCAGTTTTATTTGCTATTTTCACGATGATAAACACATTCTCAAGCACATGTATGTGAGTATGAAAATGATGAAAGTCAATTTCTTCTTTCTTTTAATCCACCAGATCTTACTACCACGACAAGGAACACCAAGAACCAAGAGAAGTGCCTTGGAAACCAACAGGGAAACAGAACTTACTACCTTTTAGCGAATTCCATTGTGAACAAGAGATTTATTTTTGCAGATTGACAGACTACTTCCCATAATTCTTTTAACATGCATTTTGTATGTCATCGACAGTTTGCAGATTGACATTCTTTACAGTAGCGTAACTGCCAGTAGTACTTAATGCTCCATACTTAAAAACACACTACAATTGATGTGTAATGCTGCCAAAAATTATGTAAACACAAATATTTCACCAAGAAAATTCATGTTCTGTTGCTTAATTCTACAGTTTTAAGGAATGTTTGTTTGTATATCTAGAACTACTAAAGATCTGCTCCACAGTAGTTGTGGTCACTTGATATCCTTCATGCTTATGCAATTTTTAAAAAGTTTGGTTAAAACAGACTTGCATTGGGGTCACATTGTACCCTGGAGTACAAATTGCATGACAAACAGGAATGTTATTCCAAGTAGACATACTTTTTGGGACAGTGGAGCATGGATTTTGTACACAAACACAAGCTGCCATTAATTTACTTTATATAATAAATGTATAAAACATTCCAGCGAACGTGCAATATGTAAATACTGTAAATAACAAGCATAAGTAATAAAGTGTTTGGTATTACGTTGTTCTCAGTTTGCTCTCTGGTCAATGAATCCAGGTAAACAAACTACCTTCTGGCAGCTACTATCATTTATCCACACTTCCATCTCTTTCCACAGAGTTCCACTTGTATAAGAAGGAAAGGTGTACTCACTTCAGAGTTCAGTAACCTGAACACCCTGGATTTATGAGGATGGATAGATCTGTGTGTTTCAAACCCACAGAATGCCCAGACTACCAAGGCTGCTACAATTCTCTACAGCATTATAAAATGGAATATTTTTTAAGACTAACAGATGTTCTGAGGTTTTTGTTTGGGTTTTGGCTTTGGTTTGGGGAGGGGCTTTCCGTTTGTTTTTTAATAATGTGCAGTCTGTTCATGATACTGCAAGACAATCTAATCAGAAGATATCCAGGAAATCATTTTAGTATTGTAGAATTTTTAAGGAGTTAGTGTTACTCCAAAAACTTTGGCATACATTTCCCTTTCTTCCTTAAATCAGATATTAAATCCAGTTGCCACAGTAAAATGACTCAAACAGGAAGAAAAATTTTATGTGCAACCTATAAATCCATGTATTGGATTTTCATGGACAGGTTTTGGTACTAGAGAGGCTACAGGGGTGGCTTCTGGGACCATCTGCCAGAAGCTTCTCCATGTCCAGCAGAACCAATGCCAGACAGCTCCAGGATGGATGTGCTGGGCCAATCAGAAATGGGATAACACAGCTGAGAAGGGAAAAGTTACTGCACAGTTGCAATTGCAGCCAGAGAAGAGCAGGGTGAGAACATGAGAGGAACAGCCCTGCAGACAGCAGGCTCAGTGCAGAAGGAGGGGCAGGAGGTGCTCCAGGCACCAGAGCTGAGATTCCCCTGCAGCCCCTGGTGCTGCAGCCCATGGTGAGGCAGCTGTGCCCCTGCAGCCCATGGGGATCCACAGGGATGCAGAGATCCACCCACAGCCCATGGAGGAGACCCACACTGGAGCAGGGGGTGCCTGAGAGGAGCCTGTGACCCTGTAGGAGGCCTGTGCTGGAGCAGGGTCCTGGCAGGGACCTGCAGGGCTGTGGAGAGAGGAGCCCACTCTGGAGCAGGTTTGCTGGTGGGACTTGTGACCCTGTGGGGGACTCAGGCTAGAGCAGCCTGTTCCTGAGGGACTGCACCCTGTGCAAGTGATCCACACTGCAGCAGGTTGGGGGGGGATTGGTGCCTGTGGGATAGAGAAGTTGGAGAAGTTCATAGAGAACTATTTCCAGTGGGAGGGACACCATGTGGAATAGGACTCCTCTCCCTGAGCACAGCAGAAATAACCTGGGATTGACTGACCATTACCCCCATTCCCATCTCTGGGCACTGCTGGGGGAGGAGAAAGAGCTGGAAGGAGGAGTCGGGGAAAGGTATTGTTAAGGTCTTATTTTACTTCTCATCACCCTGCTCTGAATTTGTTAGTAATAATTTCAGTTAAAATCCCCAGCATGAGTCTGTGTTGCCCATGACACTATTTGGTGAGTGACCTCTCCCAGTTCTTATCTCCCATGAACTTTCATTTTATTTTCTGTCCCCTGTCCAGTTGCAGAGGGGAGCAAGATAGAGGCTCTGCTGGGTGCCTGGCATCCAGCCAGGGCCAGCTTACTACAATGAACCACTTTCATCTTAATACTGGCATTTATAGTTTCCATTCTATCCTCAGTTTGAACCACAAAATGTAAAACCAAAACCAAACATGACTCTCCCCACCCTGAGTATGACTGGAGCTGATATTCTGGAAACTGAAACTTCAGAGCCTTCAGCATCCCACTCTTCAGAAGAAAACATGGCAGAAGTACAAAATCCCATCCTGGAACATGGCTGTATTTAGCAGGGGAGAAGTACATATTTTTATTTGCTTTCAGTGATGACTACACAGTGATGCTAAATTCCATGTCTCAGTGGATGCAATACATGCCTGCAGAAAACAAGGCTGTTAAAGGAATCAACTTCTATGAGATTCACTAAAGCTGCTCATCTGCAGTAAACATGTGTGGAACTCTGTGCTTTGCTGTGGTTCCACTGACCAGACCACAGACTAATACTTAACATGGGAGTTTAAAATATTGAAGCTTTCTTTTTCTAGTAGGAGACCCAAAATCTGGTTAAACAAAAACCTACTATAAAATTTCCTTGTAAAAGGGAAATAGCAACTTATTAATTATTTAATCAATTAATATATATAAATTAATCCCCTAGAAGTTTTCTCTAGATTTAGCAGAAATCATCATGCTCTGACAGAAAACACACCTATACTAGACTATAGCAGACTTTTTTTTTAGTCTTAACTTTACCACTTATAACAAGCTGTGGGGGCAGGGAGAAACAGGAGTCAGTTCTGTATTTTTTCATTCAAAATTACATTTTTCATGAGTGGTATTTTGGATGTGTGAGCGCTTAGTCATCTGTATGATACATGATTTGTGTTTTAATCCTGTTTTCACTGTTTCTCCTTGAACCCAAATAATGGTTCTGTGCAACTGTCCTTCCTGAAGGCAATCCCTGTTCTGTATTCTGGGCTTCTACAAATTTATATAAAATACCATTGTGCACCTTCCCCTCCTCCATTAAAAAAACCCTACTAATTATAAAATAAATCAACCAGCTTTTTATTTCTTGTAGAGGTGGTGAATTAAGTCACTAGATTGCTTGCTGAAAGTCTGTCTCAAGGCTGAAACTTTTAAAATGTGAACTGAATTTAACACGAGTTTCGACTAAGTATCACTTTACAGGAAGATTCCTAAGCCCAGTGAAGGTAAACAACCCTATCCTCTTATTTCCTTTGTTACCCCAGCAGCTCAAAGATAAAGATTTAAGACCTTTCAATCTTAGCCTTAATATGCAGGAAACTATGGGCTGAATTCCTACATTGCCATGAATGGGAAAGCACAAACCATCATGTTCTCAATCTTATGAATTATTTTACTTCCACTGGAATATTTGAAATGGTCATTCTGGCAGGGAATAACACTAGATTATGCCTAAATACTTCCACCTTTGAGCTTAATGCATCAAACCACATTTAGGATGTTTTGTCCCTAACTGCCCATCATTTTCACCCATTTACTTTGTCAAAACATTACTAAACAAATAAAAAATATTTTTTCCAGAGTCAGTACTTAATTGGATCTGAAATAGTGTATAACTCTTTGCCCCTGAAAAGTGAAACAGCTATTAGCTTCCAATTCCTAGCTTGTTTTTAGAAGTCAAAACTGATGGTAATGCAATAATGTGCAAAGATTCTGATTTCTGTATTTAAGTATTCCTTCTACCATCTGCCTTTTCTAAGCAAGTTATGAAGTTTTATGTCTGATTGAAATTTTAGCACAAAACAGAAATCTCATTAACACAAACACATCTATTCTACAGCAAAAGTCCCAAGAAACTTAATCCCCATTGTGAAGTCTGCAACAAACAGAGTGACACCAGGATTCCAACCTCCCCAAGAATAACATGATCTTCTGTTGAAATCCATCTCTCTCCCAAAAGGCTGAGCAGGTGACAAGTACATAGACTACAAGTTTGGAAGGCAGCAAGAGACAAAAACAAGGCTAAATAAGAAAACAAATTTTATAGATCCAGTTTTACAGATAATGTGGTAATGCTAGCTCATACCAATGCTGAGAATATTCCAAACAGGAAAATCATCATGGTATCACTTATATTACTGATCTCAGTACATTTACATGTCTAAGGCAGACAGGAAGGGTGATACTCAGAAAAGCAGGCATAGACTTTTACAAAGCATTCAAATTTTGTTCAAGAGCAGAACTGTCTACTTACTGGCCTTCTGCTAACTTAGTATTTTATTACAGATGGACTGTCTTTACACTGAATTATACTCTCAAAGAATACTTTTGACAGGCTGTACATCCACCTGAGTAAATCTGGAAATACTGTCTGACCCTCATGTAGGAACTGGGATTACAGTAAATTTCTCATCCACTGTATTACATGGACTTGAGTATTTTACTCCTGTGAGATACAATACGTGATTTCACATTTCAGCTTTAAAGTAGGTATGTTTTCTCCTCAAAGTAAATGCTGTGTTACATGTGCTTGTGTCAGTGTGCTAGGAACTGACCAGAAGAATAAAGGAAGACTTAGCCAGTTCTATCAGGCAGCAGATCTTTTAGTCTAGCAGACTCCATGTGAAACAGCTTCCATCCAAAGGCTGCCTAATGATACTGGGATGACACACCTAAGTTACACATCAATTATCTCACAGACTACCACTGAAAGTTGACTGCAATCAACTCACTGAGGACAAGACCTCAGTTCAGTTAGCATTACATACAAAGACGCAAGGTGTTACTTTTGCAGTGCTTGTGAGAAAGCACTTGAAGAGTTTACAGAAAAATTTATACTGAATTATATACTCTATAACTACATTGATGTGTGACAAAATGGTTGATCATGTAATCCAATTAAAACCTTTCTATATTTTTTCATTAGATGACAGAACAGCTAAAATACAAAATTAAACTGCGTAAGTACTGAATGCAGGGGCATAATTTTACAATTTAAATACATCAATCAAGTAAACTTTACATATTTCAGAAGAAGCTAATTATTTTCTTTTAGAAATTATATGATGAAGCATTAATGATACTTCTCCAAAAATGCTTTACAGCATCGAAGACATTGCTCGTAAACAGTTTCAAAGTCCTTTTCGCTCCCCTAGAAAAGAAAAGAGGAAAAAGACTTTAAGAATAACAATAGTGGCTGAAGAGCAAATACAAATTGCAGACTGGTTTTTCTGCTGTCAGTAATGGCAAACAAGAGACATTAGGAAAAAATAAAAACTGTGCAAATACTTGGTGATAGCTTTGGCATATTTCTCTCTAATTTGAGCTCAGGTATTTCTACAGACAAACTCTGTGACTTTGTTTTCAATAGTTCTGCATGACTTTCCTTCATGTACTTCTTCCACTCACTCTTGAGTCTTTCAAGTCTTTTCCTTTTTTAGGTTCACACTAACCTGTCATGTTGAATTTCAC